TTTTTTGCTTTAGAATTTTGAACTTTGATTGTGTGTGTAGTTTTGTGACAGTGTTTAGTGTTGTGACTTGATTTCGACGCTGATTTATAAATAGTTTGTTTAATATGTGTGATTGTGTAATTAAGAAATTGTGTTTGTAAAAATGTGTACTTTCATATATAAAAGTTAGTTTGTAAAAATTTGTGCTGGTGAAATGTTTTGTTTTGTGAATTATTGTTAGATAAAAATTTGTGTTTAAAATACTAAAAATTTTGGAGCAAGTCGATTTAAAAAAATCAAAATATGAAATTTTCGGGCCTTCAGCGCCGACGGCGCCCTAGACCTGACAACAGATTTGAACCCCTAAAAATTTGCAATTTTTACTGTGGCCATCATTTTTACGCTTAAGTCGTCTTCAACCTTCGGTTTGGGCGGCTAGGACTTGATTGTGGTTCGATTTGAGGCGATTTAGAGGCTAAAAGACTTCAGGTTTCATCTTCTCTAGGTAGGAGCAATATTTTAAACAAAAAAATTTTGCTTTTCACTAAGGATTTATCTCACATTGCATGGATCCGAAAATATAAAAAAATTTTTGACAAATTTTTGAGAAAATCCTTTGGTGATGAACTCTTATATAGTGATTTGAAGTTTAAAATGTTTTACATTTTGATTTTTGGAATTTTAGAATTTATTCAGATTTTTCAAAATTTTTTAGATTTCCTATGACACCTAGATCGAGCAAAAGGAAAGTAGAATATGACGAGCAGAGATTTGTTAGCTTTAGAGCCAGTGCTCGATTTCATAGCATTTGTGAAAATAAGAAAGTAATTCAGGATCGAGGTTTTAAAAATCCAGGAGAAGTTGAACGTTTGATTATTGCTCGGCAGTGGGAAAACTTCTGCTATTTTACTGTCGATGCGATAACTGAGATTGTAATGGAATTTTATGCCAACCTTCCTGAACCTTCTGATGATTATGTATTTGTTCGTGGAAAAGGGTAGAATTTACTCCAAAGAAAATAAATGAGTTTTACTTTGTAGAAGATGTGTATAGATGCCAGTATCATTCTTTTTCTGTTACAGATCAGGCTTTAGATGAAGTTATTTCTTTTCTGACTAGTAAGAAAGGGGCTTGGAAAATAAAAAATTGAGTTAAAGTTAACTTTCCTCGTACTAGTTTAAATGTAGTATCTAAGGCCTGACATTATTTATTTTTGAAAGAATGATTCCGACGAACCATCATAGTGAGGTGACCAAAGATAGAGCCATTTTGAACTACTGTATTCAACAAGTTATGGACATAAATGTGGGCTATATTATTTACATGAACACTCGATCTATTGCTTTGGGAGAGACTTCTGGTGGATTGTCACACCCTGCTCTTATTTACACACTTTGTGAGCAGGCAAGAGTTGAATTTAGACTTGATGAGGAGAGGATTGAGCCTCAGAGACCTATTGGGCCTGCAAAAATCAAGACATATGAATCTCATGTTGGCTGGAGATCTGGCAGTAAGGCTAGAGATATTCTTCTACTTCTAGGGATATTCCTTCTACCTCTCATGGACCTACTTCTAGTGACCCCAGCAACAGAGAACTTTTAGATCAGATGATGATACAACAGGGAGATATTTTGAGGAAGGATTATAGGATACATAATATGGAAGCCATAAATGCTCACACTGATGATTTGATTCGGCAAAAAATTGAGTATGATGCTGCTTATGATGATGCTTTAGTTAGATACCTGAGGGGAGAATATTCAGTTTAGTTCCTTGTTCGCTCTGTGTTTACTCCATATCAGCAGCAGAAGTTGGATGTAGATGAAGACGAAGATGATATTGACTAGTGATCTTTTTGTTTGTTTGTTTGTGTTTGTACTGTGTGATTGTATTGTTTGTGTTGTGATGTTGTTTAAACTTTGTTTTTTATGTTATGTGAAACTGTAATGTGAAAGACTGTTTTTATTTTTAGAATTTAGTTTAGTTTTGTTGTTATTTTCAGCACTTTGTTCTGTTTTGTGATTAGCTCTTTCTCAACAAATTTTATATGTATTATGTGCAATTTAATGTTTTTAGCCTTGTAGTTTTCATTTTAGCACCTGCATTATTTTCAAAATTTATGTTAAAAAATCAGAATCTCCAACAGGTATAAATTTTTTTATGTATTTAATGCTTTCTCTTACCCA